CTACGTCTCTCTCTCTCTCTCTCTCTCTCTCTCTCTCTCTCTCTCTTCTTTCTGTCATGTAAACTTCAAAATGATATTTTCAAATTCCTATAATATTTTCAATAAAAAATATTCAACGAAACAAAGAATTACATACGTCAGATTGATTCATTCGTCATCACAAACAATTTACAATAAAAGAAAAATGGCTACGCATTACGTATAAGAGAAAAGGAATGGATATAAATTTGTGGATTACTTTTACGGACAAATTTCGTTACTTTTCCATTCTTTTTTTGTTTCGTCTTTTCGATTTCATCCCGTTCTTTTCTTTCCGAGACTATGCATCGAACTAAAATCTCTGTTGTGCAATTTGCTTACGAGAAAGAACAATGGCATGCGGAATATTAACGCACCACTGAGTAACGGCTAACCAGAAACACATAACATTCGTCACAAACGCGTACCGGTTTCGCTGAATTCGGCAAGACTGTAGTATTGTCACTGCAGGCATTACAGAAAATGTTACCACAATTGCGACAATGATGCTGTAACAGAAACAATATGCACACATCTATTAGCTTATATATATTAATATATATTAGTATATATATTAATTGTTGAATTTATTTTTATCGATAAAAAATATCTAGTGTACTCATACAGATAATACTGTAAAACATGATATATGCATTTTATGAATTACATCATAAAAATTAATATTTCATATATATCATTCATTTATTTATACTGCAATATATTTATATATCAAAAATATGAATATAATATTCATTTTACATATTCAAATAACATATTCATATATAAAAATAACTACATTCACATTTCTTTTTTTCTTCTTAATTATTTTAATTGTTTCAATAATCAAATTATATAATAAATAACAAGATACAACTTATATAATATATGAACAATGACAAATGACTTATGACAAATGACAAAGATAATTTTTTTATTGTTAATATTTATCTTAGTAAATAATTATTAAATAATTATTAAATGTGTATTCCTTCCATTACAAGCTGCATTTGCAATACAACTTTATATTTCAAGATCAAAGTAAATATTCTCAACTAAATTAATATAAGATATGCTCCATATATTTATAATTTATATCGGAACTTCAGACATTTGTAAAGTGTGAATTGATAACGTGCCAAAGTAGAACATTTACCTTCAACTATTGGCTTTAACTAACATTACTTCAGGTAAAAATCGATAATATTTCATATTAAGATATCTGAACTATCTCGGGGCAATGTAAATATAGTTTAAATCTCGTAGCTAGCAGTTTAGGATTTCAACTGAAATGTCCAAACCAATAATAACTTTGCGGCGTATAATGGCGATGAGTTTGCCCGCCTCAGGTCTACATGCTGAAAAGTAAAAAGCTCTGTAGCGTAGTTCGCAGTTACGGATTACGTGTGCTCGTTACGTTCGGGTCAAAAAAAGTGCATGCGCGTACCTGAAGTTGGCACGCGGACAACGGCCGGAGCTTTTTGCACTCGGCGCCAGGGATACTATTGTCCGCGCGTCAACTTCAGGTAAGAGAGCGCTTAATACTTTTTTGCGGTGTTTCTTGCACAGGTCATTTCCATGTGCGAGTCGTTAGATTGTTGAAGTATAGACGGACGTAGAACAGGACTGACTGAGCAAGCTGCTGAAAGTGATAAACGAGAAACAGGACAGATAAGGATAAATAGGATAAAACAGATTTGTGTTAATTGCATCGATTATACAGAACGTTTCGAGTCACTTGTTTGTCTGTTTGAGTCAGTACAGATTCTAAAAAGCAAATAAAAAAAAAACAGTAGAGATAATAGCCAAGCAAACACTTGGTATTTTGTATTCTGTTATATTTTATATTTTTGAATTTTCTTTTAACAGCGTCGTTTCATATCAAAAGCTAAAAAGCAAGAAATTCGCTGTCAATTTGTCACACAAGGAATTTGCAAATTTGCAAGTCGCAACGAGAGAGAACGCACTTGGTGGTATCAACGCGTTTCTATCTTTGCGTTCATTTCACGTTTCTACACTCTCGCACTCCCGTTTCCCCATTATCCGGTGGTCTTTATTTTCGAGCCATTACCGACGGTCTATTATAATAATGTGGTATTCGCGTACTCTGAAAGCCAAAGAAGAGGCGACGATTCTAAATTTTACATCTAAATTGAATCCCCTAAGTGAGACGGCCGGATCGTCGTTTCCCTCTTAGCATGAGGTGGTATGGGTGCGAGAAAGTGGTTTGCCCGGTTATTACCGGGAAGTAAGAGCCCGAATAATATCGGCCCGATAACCGATTTCCTCGCAAAGTTAATTATTGAACCGTCATCATGACTTACGACCGAAATGTAGTAGATTGGTGCCTGCAACTCCGTAACCGGCGTGCCTCAAACACGCCTTATCTTAACCGTGATAGATACCTACTTACAGATACTTTCCAAGACGAATAAATCAGTCTGAGATCAGATCCGAGAGATACTGTCGGGCAAATGATCGACCGTAGCGATCTATAAATTCTATGCGCGCGAGATGACTCGCTTTTGGCGCGGACGCGAAAGTCTTGGTAAACCAGAGACGACCATCTCGCAGCTTTCCTTGCTCGCCTTTGTAGCGCGTAACATCGGGCAAACTCACTTTTATGCAATCGCATGAGCAAGGAAATGAGTTTTCGTCTCTAAAGTTAAGAGTTAAAAAGACGCAAATGTTATTGCATGCTTATTTATCTTTGTGGCTAAAACGACAAACTAAAAGTTTGTCTTTTCTTTTTGTAATTGCAGTTTGTACCCGCTCTTGTCTCACGTGTCAGTCACGTGTTCAATATCATATTATATTCTAAATAAACATATTCAATTATCTTTATTAAATTAAAAACGCTGCGTGACTAAAATGATTAGGATGATTATATTCTAAAATCCGCCTTGAAACACGGTAAAAAGAATTCAAAGAGAACTCAGGGAGAAATTAATTATAATTTTGAAATATGCATATTCATCATATGTAAAACATATGTTTTTTAGCCTCGTTTTAAATTAATACAATACATATTGGAATTTTCTTAACGTATCTTTTACGTTGCTGTTTCATCGCATCGATACATGCGCCAGCGCATTACTTATCAGCATCTGTGCACAAGTTGATATTGCTTATAATGATCCAATCTCGAAAGCAAGTAGTCTGCAAGTGTGCTTCTTGAAAGCAATTGCTTTCTTATACAATAATTCCATGTGATGCTTTATAATAATAAGTACGGATAAGTACTTTACATTTATGATAAGTACGGATAAGTACTTTACATTTCTATCTTTATATTTCGCGAACAAAAATATTTGCTTTATACATACAAGAAGACGTTTTAATAATAACTTCTAAATAAAAATATCACATTACATACTCACACAGATTTTATTTCAACGCGATAAATTCAGATTAATAATATTTATATTTTATATACGCTAAGCTCCTCAACTTTGAGTTTTCTCAACTTTGATTTTACCTACTGGAAAATATTTACACATTGTTATCACAAGATGAAACTTGGCTGTTACCAATTTGCTGCTACTGGGAGCAAATCAAAACGCTTAGCGGCGCGTAATGTATACGAGAAAAGTTTTGTGCTGAGTCTCGTTAGTATTACCACGGTATCAAAATTCCGTACAAATTCGCAAGTGGAAATTGTGTCAAGTACGCGTGCAGAGCTATTGTCGATACACTGCGTACTCCAGATGATACCGGAACACTGTGTATTTAAAAAAAGCACAGATAAATTTATCTTAATATGTCTTAACTCTATGATCAATCGCGCCGAGCGATGTGGATTGTGGCAGGGGGAGGATTATTGTTTTGCTTGCTTTTGCACTCGCGCGAGTGCTTGCGGCCGTCCCGCTCTTTCCCGCCCGCGAACGAACCCAGTACCTTTCGAAAAAACCCTCGCACCTTCTCTCTGTGCCGCTCTGTTCATCGTTGCGTACCTACCAACAGAACGGTTCACCCGCCACGGCACGATTTCACCCACACAGCTGGCCGTGCCATGTCTGGCCTATTCTATATTAAACAGTATGGTAATACACCTACCGGGCGAAAAATGAGTAACAAGGATACCGAGCACTGCCTTGTTATTATGCAATAACTTACCACCCTTTTCTACGCCCTCTTTTCAGCCCACCTTGCAACCCCTTCCTCGCGCGCCCGGGCACCACGTATATTTCTCGAACCGCCGGCTACGTAAAGCAAAGAAGAGAATGCGGTCTAATGTATTTTATGGGGCGAGCAACGTCTCTATCACATCGTCGAAACTGAATATGCATGCGGGCCATGCATGCACAACGCGTAATCATGAATGTACGTCGGATGATGGTGCAAATAATGTAATTGGACGTCCTGGAAAAAGAGCGAGGAACGCTGCTCCAGGCTTAAGGCTAAAGAGAATATTTTCGTTGGCGTTTCTCGCGCAATAGCCAGAAACGCGTGGACATGCGAGATCGATTATTACGACAACCGTCGACGAGTAAACAAGAACAAGACGTCACGACTCACGGACGCACGCGACGATCCGATTCTTTTCGAAATCTCCGCGAGCGAGTTATCTTGGCACTGATTACAGTAACGTCGACAATCAACTCCGATGAACTTTGTTATTTATCGCTCACGTCCGCGTAATTTCGATAAACTCCCCATCGCGCGTAAATCTTACTATGAAATTTACCTGTATGACGAATGCACGAATACGCTCTCGCCGTAGTTGGCGCTCTTCCCTTATCGATGCACGCAACTGCAACGAACGGAACGATCAAGATCTCCGCGCGAATACTTTAAGCGCTCATATCGTGCCGGCATGCGTGATTCGTGCTGAAAAAAAAAAAAAATGAAAGGGAACCGATGCGAGGTGCTCTCGCCGAAGTCCATCGCACGGGGCTCGAGAAATCGCTGCCTTCGCCATGTAACGCGACACGTCTCTCGCTTCCTAATGAGCAAATTAAAAAGCGTTACGAACGCGCGGCGCCGTGTTTCGCGCGGCAGGTGCTTAACAACTGCCGTTCGAGAACTTGTTTAAGCCGGTAATCCCTCAGCCGGCTCTTATCTATCCGCAAATTTCGGCCCTCATTACGGCCTATCGCGATTTAATAAAGGGGAAAGTTAGGTAAACGAAAGCCTTTAAGTGTAATTGCCGGTCTGCGCAACGCGATAGCCTACTATCTCTAATAATACGACTGTCATGCATCAAAGTTGTTGCGCGTGAGGAGCGATTTCGATCTCGAGAAATCCTGACGACCTGACGAGCGCCTTAACCCTTCGGCGCCATCAGATCTTAGGTAAGATCGAGATAAGTGTATCCCGTAGCGATGCCAAGTCTGCCATGCCACGACTTAAACGACTCTGGTCATTTAGCGCGCATTTACCTCGCCTTGTCTCCCACGTCGAGTTCAACGGCTAGAATCCGCATCGGAGTAAGCAGTAATTTCCAGAACGGCGAGGATAATTGAACAATTACGTACGGTGCGCCGCGCTTTCAGTCGAAAGCTCTCCGCGCGCGCGAAACTGTCTTTGCGAATAGATCGGATAGGCGAAAGAGGAAAGTAGGGAGAGGAGCGGGCGGGGGATGGTCTCCTGGAAGAAGCTCGAGAATCCGGGAATTGGGAGGAGGAAAGTTAGAAGGAGGAAGAGAAAGGAAGAGTGAGAGACAAGGATTGCAAAGGCGTGAGAGCAATTAAAAAGTTTGATTACCTTGCGACGAGTCATGTTGAACTCACGGCTGCATCCCTTGCATTGGGTGACCATCCGATCATTCGTCCAGGTTACCGAGCCCTCTTGCAGTGCCGACTGCTGTTGCTGCTGCTGAGCGTTGTCAGCGGCCTCGCGCAGTTCGACCGCCGCTAATTTGGCCGCGCTCAATTGTCCTCCAAGTTCCTCCAGAGTTCGTTCCTGCTCGCTGCATATCTCCTTTAGAGCATAATACTCTTCCTGCAGCATCAAGTACCTCTGGAACAATATGGACGCTATGATTGCGATTATTCGACATATATACGTACATCTCTCCGTTATCGCGATTAAAGGCGGATCAATTAGTTGTTAAAATGCTACTAGAATGCAAGTATAAATGCAATAATATACGTTCTTCGACAAGAATCAATATATTAATTTAAATCAATTTCCAAAATGTGCACGCGTAATATTTTTAAATGACATAAGTTCCATTTCTCTAAGCTATGTTATTTCTTACATCAATATTATAAATTTTTTAAATTTTTTAATTAAATTTTTTAAACTTTTTAAATTTTAATTATTCTTGTATATACATATCCGTTTTTCTTGTTTTTCTAATCCCGAAAAATCTTACTTTATTTTATTTTATACAACACCTTAGCGCACTAATTCTTTAACTTTCAATTTCGTCTTCCGTTGGGAATAATCTATTTTTGTCTTATACATTAACTATATAGCAATTACATCTAAGTATTAAATGTAATGTAATAAGATTAAAGCTATTACACCCCAATGGATTCCATTATTACATTCAAATCAGAAAGATAGAGAGAAAATTAACTTATTTTTATTTTATAACTGCCAAATAACATGTTATATTTTAGAAATTCACAGAAATGAAAATCCAGTAGTTGAAATAAATTTCATTAATTTATTTCAGAACGGCGACGTCGTCGTACTTACTTTCGGTTCTATTATCGAAAGGCGGATAAATTTCCACAACGACGTGCGGATTGAATTAGATGCTGGCTTATAAGGTTATTCAGGTTTGGGGGATAGGATTTAAATAGAAAGATCGGATCGCCATTTCCGCGAGACTTGTCGCTGTCTAAACTTAGAGTCGACACAACGATAACGACGATACCGTGAGATTTATTCGCCGCAGGTACGCTTAAAAGGCAATACAGATCGCACATGGATACGTACCTCAGACACCCGTTTCAGCTGATCGATTTCCTGATGTAATTGAGAGATCTTCTCCGTGTTACAGATCGATGTTTCCTGCAAGGAGGTTCTCCACTCGCGTTCAAGTCGCAATTCCCTCTCGACCCCATTCGTCCGCGCTTCCCGCTCAGCGGCCTCGGCATCCAGAATCCTCACCCTCTCCTCTACCCCCGATCTGACACCATCCATCTCCTTGCACCTGATTAAGTCAAATCGGTGGTACTTAAATGTCGAAGACATAAAACTCGCATCTAGACCGCCAGGGCTTATTTCATTCAATTGATTCGGCGATCTTTAATATTCGTACCTTGCTCCAAAATTAGCTTAGGATTTCAAGTAAACGTGAATGTGATGACATGCGATGGTTATATAAGATGATTCTGTTCGCTCAATACTGTCAATAATTTCTTATTAATGGTTTTATTATTGGCAAGAAATGATTTATTTGCAATTCACCACTTGTGACTGTTCATTAATAGAGAAGATAAGATATTTCCATATTACATTATATATAAAATTCATTGAATTAAACTTATAAAAACACACATATTCGTTTATTAAATTAAGAATTTTATTAAAGTAAGTGCTATTTCACATTTGTAAATATATATTACGCAAATAAAAATATATTTTCAAAAAACGCATTTAAGGAACCATTTTATCAGTACATTATAAAAAATGAAAGAAATGATATAAATTTATATAAAACAATTAGTAGAATGTACAAAAATATCAAATATTTTAGTAAACTCAACGTGAATCAAATGTAAAGACGACATTGCAGAAGTGCCAATCCAGTAAATTTTTAATTAATATTTTATACAATATTAATATTTTATATTTAATACAATTGATAACGTGCATTTTATATGCACGCATATAAATATTATATTTGCCAAATATTTAAAGCCAAAGTAAGATAAAAATGAATATTACTCTTCTGTTTTACAAATAAATTTAATAAAAGACTAAGGCCATTTATATAAATTACTAATTTACAAATAAATTAATAATATTACAAATATATGTGTATAAAACTTACCTCACAAGATATTATCATGTAAGCAATGGCTATACGAAAACAAATCAGGAGAAAACTTTATTTAGCAATTATAAAATCCGCAAAACGTCACAAAAATTGTATTAAGTCGTGACATTTTAATTTAATCAGCAATGATTCTGGGATAAACAAACTCATATTCTTTTCTGTCATAAATTTATTTTTGTAGTGTTGGTACAAGCACACGTAGTATTAGAGTGCATTATAATCTCCACTGCGCGAGACTTATATGAGTACGTAAGTATATCAATATGGATATGGCACGTTTAATTAATCACCACCGAACATTCTACTTCCAATGACGAAATAACATCTCCAATATCATCTCGGAAAAACATCTTATGCGAGTAAATGTATCGATTACAAATGCAAACATAATGATTTATTTGAGGCAAAGCTATTTTCATATATAAACATTAAACCAAGAAGGAATGATTCGGTGACAGATGTGATTGCGAATCAGTTCCTTAAACGCAATTACCATGAATGAAACGAATTTTAAGAATACGAAGAAAATACGGAAATTCATATCTTCTCTTAAAATAAGTAAGATGTAAGATGAGAATTTTTCGATAATAAAAATTTAACTTTATTCCTTTGAAGATGATAATAAATATGGATAAATGATGAAGAAATGAGATCACATTAAATGTTCTATAATATTACTTTTTGTTTAATAGCATTAATAAATTTTATTAATATAATTTTATATATTAATGTATAAATTTATCGATTATTGCAAAAGACTTTAAAATATGTCTTGTCAATGTTAACAGCTACATATTGATATAATTATTTGTAGAATAGCCATTTAGTGAAGTTTGCCAATATCCCCGTGACGATAAGATTTTATTTAATTCTACAACTTCGTGATTTTTTTAAATTCTATCCTACCTAAATCCGATCGCATTCGCGACATCTAAGTAAAAAATAAATCATCTCTAGCTAGAGCTGTCCATTTATTTGCTTATGTGCTTCATATAACTGTTGGTATGATCACTCGCATACCAAAATTCCATTCAATGACAGCTGATAGAAAAGTTTTATCACAACTATATTTATACGTAAATAATGCCTGTTGAAATAATTCGTAATATAAAGACATTTTCAATGCTTCTTTGAAAAAAAGTTAACATTGCACGTGAAATTTAATAGAAAGAAATGGTCAAGTCCTTTCGCATTTCAATTGTCACATTTTTCTAAATAATATCAAGCACAACATTCGATAATGATGATTGATTCAATCAAAATCTTGAAGCGTATAAGACATGGAAATATTAGTTCTTTTTATATTTTTATAATGTCAAATGTAGCCTTTCATATAATAAGAAAACTACGCTTCCTTATGCGTTAAATTTCAGATCTTCAATAAAAACATAGCAACAAGATATCTTGAAATATATATACATGCATCAAAAAAGTTTTGCGTAGCTTAAATTCTCAATAGATTAGAGATATAATTGCTAATTACACAATCACATAGAGCGTGAATAAAAAATGAAATATTCTAAGATAGAAAAATAACTTGTTTATAACAAAGAGTATAGGACCGTTTTTTAAAATATATATACATCCTTACTGTCTTAAAAATAAAGTGGAAATAAATTCCGCTGAATTTTGGATAATATGTAATATTTCTGTCATTCTTGCACGCTTGCATTCTTACATCAAAAATATCGATGACATTATTACAGCATCAGATAAAACAATATTGGTGAAATTAGTACTATTACTTCTATCTATTACTTTATCATATAAAAACCCCACTTAGAAACTTTGTGATATTATTAAATAGAAAGCTGACTTACACATCTTTTGTTGGTAATTAATCAGATAAGATATTTAACAGAAAAAAGACATGTCAACGTCTCAATCACAAAAACACCAGATAACAAAGCGCAAAACATTTTTTGATGTGTGTAGTTATTATATTAAAGATTATGCGCGAGCACAATTTTTAATCCCGAGTATTTGCGTGATCAAACTGCACTTATTAATTAATTAACACTAATGAAAGACAAATAAAACATACTTTTCATCCATTTTCTGGATGGTCTCGCTCATCGATAGTGTTTTAGCTTCCAGTTTTGTAATCAGTTCTGTCTTATGTTTAAGAGAGCCTTCGCATTCCTGAAATAAATATTTATTAAATACAAACGAAAAAGAAAGATATAATAATGCTTGACCAAATCTCTAAATAAACCTGGAATAATAATATATATATTGAGTTGAAAATTATTTCCATAATTAGGCATATATAATATTAATAGAATGGCACGATGTCTTTTGAAACTTGTAATTTGTCATATGCAGAATGTATAATATATTCGCAAATATGATGTAACGAAATGTTTGATATAAAATCTTCAGGTTTTTTAAATTTTTAAATTGATATTATATCTATAACATCATCTATGTTGTGATATAGGCAAAATATATACAAATAGATTTTAAAAATATTAGATTTCAGATTTATATTAATAATTTTTAATAAACTTTTTATTAATATAAATAAATTATTTATAACTATTATAAATTATTGATAACTATTATGTGTAACTATTACAGAATATTGTCTCTTCATTTCGCACTTTGCAAACAAATAGATATTTTCTTTTTAATTATTTCTTTGATGAAAAATATAAGAGATATACATATATTATACTTTGTAGAAACTTCTACAGAAATCATTGTTTTGAACCTAAGTCTGTATCAGAATGAAATTGGCAATTCGATTCAATGTTTCAGAAAAGTCTACGAAATCATTTCGTTACACCATAGTAATTTCACATAATGTGTCAATGTACAATGTACAATGTAATGTCGATTAATCATCAAAAGTGGCACTGAATAAACGTATATGACAATATGCTATGCGCGAAACACAAGTGGAAATCTGGCAAAGTAATTTTGCACGACTTGTAAGGTGTACGTATAAAAAATGTACGCCTCGCGTGCAGCACCGAATAGCCGCGATATCCGAAGTGTCAAGATCCCCTGTGGAATTAATCGTGTAAAGGTAGGTTGTCTCTATTCTTTCGTAGCTTGCTCGGTCGTTGAACTATTCATGGAAATCTCGGAGGTAGAGCGACTCTGTTTCAATTTGTCATTAGAGGCTGTCACCGGCTGTTCGTCAAGAGAGCGTTGATGATCGACCGTCGGCCGGGCAGTCGTATTCTCCGCGGGTGGGCACCCCCTTGGAGAAGTAGGGCTAGTCTTATTAAGAATAGATTTCGATACGCCACCCGGAGTGGTGGGGCTTCGCATACCCTCGCCATCTTTCATCAAATGATTATACTTCTCGAGGTTATTAAGGATCTTGCCAATCTGATTGGTCTTCGCGTGAAGACGGCTCACCATCTCGCCCTTTTGTGTCAACTCATGCTCACATTCCTACAAGGGAAATACGTCCAGAAACGGAGAATTAACGTGTCCGTCAAAATCCTCTCCAAAAGAAAAGATTCCGACGAAATAAAAATTCCCATCATTGTCAGTATATCCATAAAAAAAGCACCTAAATAGGCTAATATATAATAACAATCTAGCTCACATAAGAGAAAATTTAGATATTCGTTAATAGGCTGAAATATTAATAAATAGCAAAAATATTGATAAAATGTGAAAAGATATAAAGTTATTGTCTGTACTATAACTAATATTTCTGCCATTTAAGAATAAATATTGTGATTAAAAAATTTTGTAAGCAATATATTGTATAAAGAAATCTTTGTGATATAGTATATTTGTCTTATTAAACATCGCATGAATTTAATAAAAAATATTATTTCTGAAGAGCATACTTAAAAAAATATTTTTTTATAAATGATTAATTTTCTAAAATAAAATGGTAAATTTATAACAATAAATTTATACCATTTATTAAAAGAAAATTATTGGTATATAATAAAATAAAATAAAATAGCGTTTCTTCTTTCTTTTTTAATATCTCTCTTTTTAAATAAAGTTAAATAAAATAATTAATTTAATACAAGTACAAGTAGGCTATATCACAGATATTAGAAAAATTATTCAATGGTAGTTGCAAGTTATACCACCTGCAGCTTTTTGTACATTTCCAAGTTGATTAATTTGATATCCTCCAGTTGTCGCCTTAAAGATATTATAGTATCCTGTTTTTCATGTATATCCTTTTCTAACAACTTCATAGCTACTTCCATTTCGGATTTCATGCTAATCTGTATAAAAAAGACAAAAATACTCATCAATCGTAATGTGCATTTTTACATATGCACTTAATTTTATAAATCTCTTTAACGTAAAAAAGTATCAACAGTTACAAAATTCTACATGTATAAAAAGACAGAAAGAATATCACTGTTAGAAAAATAGGTCTTATCAACCTGCAATTCTAGTTCTTTCTCTAAGTCTTGTCGAGATTTCTTTTCAGATTCTATTCTGCTTCTAAGTTCTTCCATTTCAGCGGTAGTTTCTGTTATTTTAAGAGGTACCTTCCCGTTCTGAAATTAGATCGATGTAACATGATTTCAGTAACATGGTAATCTGCATGTAACACGCAATTCCAACAATTTCAACATATATGTATACCTCGTTTGCGTCTTTAACTTCTATACCAAGTTCTTTTTTTAGTTGTCTGTTCTCTTCTTGAAGCGATAAAATATTGTTCTTAGCAATAGCAAGATCCTCTTTCATAAGAGCGTTCGTTGTTGTCAGAGATTCTACTTTAGCTTGAAGGTTCGTTACCGTTGCACTAAAATCGGTAGAACATATCAAAATATTGAATAAAAATATTCGTATTTACGTGTGGCTTTTTAGTTCTATTCAAATTTATAAGTCATTTTTAATTAAATATTTACTTTAAATGTCGATTGAGCTCCTCGATATAATTCTTTTGATCAAGCACCGTCGTCATGTTATCGTTTTCGAGTTCATCGTCTGGTGATTCACCAGGTATATGATTACTGTTACGCAGATATAATGAAAAATCAATTACGCCCTGTTGACAATCGAGGTCTTCTTCCTGTTGCAATCGTTATGATCTTGATTTAACATCATTATCACTCTAATCAAGTGCATACATATACACTTTCATGAATGTTAAAAACGTGACATTAATCCAAACCAACCTTTACACAGAAGTTGCAATCGATCACATTTAATCCCACTAACAAACCCATCACTACAATTGCCTCTTCGCTCATCATCAAAGCATCTGGTTCAAAATATTCAGACAAAATATCATCTTTGTGATCTATCAGAACTTTGAGATAATCTGCTAATTTTTTTTGCATCAACGCCATACGCAACCAAGCGCGTGCCCTACCCATAGCCGTCCTAAAAATAGTAGCGCTTTCAGAATAGTACATTTTAAAATTATTAATTACAAAAGAACCAATAAAATTTTTAAGTTAATTAAAATTCTAAAGTTAATTAATAAATGTGATCATCAATTTTAATCTCACAAAATATTGATCTAATCCAGATAGGAAGGCATTTTAAATGTTAATAATAAAAAAGCAGAAATTTAAAAACTTTTAATAATAAAACATTTTTTTAATTATTTAAGAAAATCTAATAAATCCATCCATAAAATCAATACCGTGTCTAAAACATTCTAAATACGAAATATTATGTATGTATGTATTTTATTTTAACATTAAAAAATATAAAATAAATACAGATAAAATAAATATTGTTAATTAATCATATTTAGAAGTTAAAAAAAATAGATATCAATTTCAGAAGAGAAATACGCAGTACCTAACAGTAGGTAAATCACGAATGCTGGACGTAATATCTTGAGCTTCAGGACAATATTTTTCTACGAGCTGAAGAATATCCCACAATTCCTTTTTGGGTCCGAGAAGACCCTGAAATCGGAGACTCGTTAAATCAGGTTGAAAAAATTACTCCGCTGTCCGCACGTCAAGAAATTTTACCTTCTTCGGTCGTAAACCATGTCTAAGTACATGTTCAAGAACGATGAAGAAATGTTGCAACGGCATATGATCAGAATCGAGCATACGACCATATTTTAAAGATGTTTCAATCAACTCCTTGACGATTAGTTTCGAAATGTTAACGAGATTACTTCTTTCGATGATCACCGGATCTCGTGCTGCAAAAACAATATGTGTCTGTTCTAACGCGCACAAAATAATTTCGATCAATTTCCGTTAATACCCAAATGATCTCAAATTCAGTGATCTCAAATATCCGATTCTGAATATGAAAATATTCTTAATTAAGATTTCATTGGAACTTAATGTAGAAATGATTGCGTAGCATAATATGCGCTATTTTTTACAATTTTGTAACAACTTTTAAAATAAATAAAAAATAAATAAAGAAGTGCAACCATAAGCGAAGATTTGCAACGGTTTTACTATTGAAGAAATGCATTCCATCCAAAGCATACACGCTAAAGCGTGATAAAAGGGAAAAAATCGGAAGAAGAAGAAACTTTTATCGTTTTATAAAAGAAAATAAAAATTTTTTGTAAACAATATAAACGTCAACAAAATCCGTTGAATCACACAAAAGAAAAAAGCAAACGGATTCAATTCGATTCCGAATATATTCCGCCAATTAAAATGGGTGAGTGCAGTAACATCCAGTACAGACACAAGCTGGAGACGTGCTGCAATGGCGGTGGACTTGATGGCATAATATCGCGAAGCTCTCGCTGCTCGGGAAGCTGTTGCTGATGATGATGGTGATGATGATCATGGTGATCATGATGATTAATACCACTGAGAGCAAGCGGCGGTGAAGGCGATCGCTGCATCGAATCTTGGAGTGAGAACTCGACATCCTGGAGTTCTTTCAAACAGAGCCATTCGCCATCTACCGACACTCGAAAATTACACAAATATATTGTGTCCTGGGCACCAGCCATATCTTCTTCCAGCATGACCCCGCCGTGATGTACACCACCGTGATCACCCGGCGGTCGCAGTTTCAAGCCAGTCAGGGATTCCTGCCGCATAGAAAACGATTCCTCTACCGTCGCTGTCTCAATTGATCTTGAAGATTATGCGATATCTTTCAATAGTCGTTCACAATTGCATAGATTCTTGTATTTTTATTTCTTTTGGCAATAATCTTCGAGATTGTAGATTGGAATAACTTGTTGTTAATCCGAATTAAATCTTCTTCCGTTATTAAAATAATGAGTCAAGCAATAATTAATAAATAATAAGCGTCAATTTGTTCTTCCAATGTATATTTTTTCATTGCATTTATCAGTTATAATATTAATTTGTTCAATACTGTATCGTCTTCTTCCTGTTACATCGATCAGCTGATAGAAAAATGTGTCGCAATGGATGAGTCACCAGTAAGTGGCTATATTGCAGTCAGATGTTACGTTGTTACTTGTTACTAATAAGATAAAAATCTGTATGTAATAATTATTTCGCCGTTTTTTGTTATTTCTTCAGATATTATCCTTCGATCATCATTACTTGCCTTTTTAATGATAAGTAAATCTGCTTTAATAAAGGAATGCTCCAATTGAGCTGCAGGTATCGAAAAGATAGTAAATAAAATTTCAGTTCAAGCGAAGATGAAGCGATGAACGCGCACTAATGCGACTACATCATAGTTTCACGATAATAAGATTATTCGCTCACAAAGCGACACGCTTCAAGAATTAGCACACTTATAGAAACAACTTAGAAATCGTATGAAGTGTCGAGCAAGAATTTTACGTCGAAAATAGGGACAGCACCGGCAAAATGTGGATATTGATTTTCCCGCTGACTTTGCCTCCATCTACGATAATCAATACGAGTGCTGCTGCGCATTGCTGCGTAGTGCTGCCATCATCTTTCTGTACTGCTTTACCGATACAACGGTAGCGCAATGACAAAACCTATTTATAAAGTTTTTATAGATATAAAAAAGTAATAAAAAGAAGCTAACGCATGTTTTCATATTTCAACATTTTATTGACATTTCGGATATATACATATAAATTAATACTTTATCATATATAATAGAAATAAATAATATTGTAAGATGTATTTTGAAATTATCTTTTATGCTATAATTACCAATAACATTTCCACAGAACTGAAGCAACTGCAAATATGGATTTTTCATATAGAATATTTAACGATGTAAACAACTTAATTATATTTTCACATCACAATAAAGTCAATTAATCATTCGCATAATTAAAGGGAGAAGAAGAAAACGATATTAAACTTTCTTATTGAATATTGTATTGAAATATTAGCATATTAAATGCTTCATGTTATTTCTCTTATATATATATGATACGATTAATCATATAAGAGATAATCGTACATGTGTCAAAAACACTACATGTAAGCGATATCATTGCTCTCGTGATATTGCGCGCTCAAGATATAAGGAACTGAAACTGTCAGCGCAAAAAAGCAAACAAATAAATTGCAGAAGCTAATAATAATTCTTGATAAAGTATATTAATAATATATTTCATTAAAACTACCATCAAAGATTAGTAAATAAGTGTCAGTATAAACAAAATAAAAGGTAATAAAGATTGATAGTCAATATTTTTATTTTAAATATTACGTTTTGAATATTGTACAAATATTTCATTTATAATTCAGTTTTCATTTATACAATTTTATTTTATTTTATTTTAAAATATTAAATATATTAAATCTTTTATTATTTATATTTACTGTATTACTGTATTACTTCAACATGATTAAAATAAAACATTATGAGAACATATTATGGTTAATAGAGAAGATTATTTTAAATGATTATAGATATTCCTAAACATACGCTTGGTAATTGACACTTGAAAAAAAAATCTTACAGATATATAGATATAACGATATAGATATAACGTATATACGTACTAACAAAATTCAAAAATAAATGTAAAATTTTACGTTTCCACAATAAAATTCAATCTAAAATCGTCATTATAACTTCTCTTTTATTTAAAAACTTTCGTATTATTCCGCGCATCACTAACGTATTCCCTTTTCGCAGGACGCACGTGTTGATGTTTACAATTTATAAACTTGATCTTACATAATATTAAAAAAAATATCTATTATATATAATAAACACTATCTGTCTCTCAATTAACATAATTTTAATTAATAGTTTTGTAACCGAAAAAAAATTTTTTGACATTACAGTCTTTGTAAGACGTACAGTCGATTACAATTTGGTTGTTAAATATTAATCGCAACTAAATATTCGAATATGTGTTAGCCGAAGGGTACACATCCACAACAAGGGTTGGCACAGGACGATCGTGAAGAAAGAAATAACAACGATGGCGAGACACGTGTGCGCATAGTACGTCCACGCGCACTTAACACGCGGGCGCCAAGCTAAGCCCGCGAGCGCCGGATTTTTGAAAAGCGCGCCGGATCGCGGAACCATGCAACCATCGAGCTGTACTCACGTCTCGGCAACCACCAGGCATCCAGCTTTCTGGGTCTAGACACGACAAGGTCAGGCCATTTGTCCTCCCGTATGGAATAACTTGACGGTGAACGTGAGACACTTTTCTCATTTTCGTCGGACGCGAGGCTACCAGTAAGAGATTTCTCGGACGGGGATATTGGCAAACCGTCACCACTCTCCGCGGCCATGTTTACGTTCCCACTGTCGACTAGCGGCGCATTCGCCGACACAGAAGAGTCCGTATACATATATGCGTGTATAGATATGTTCATATCTTTCTGTTACGAGCAGGTCATCGTGCGTCACTTCTCTTGCCAACACGTGGTAAGAGTTCTTGTTACACAAAACACGCACGCCTACATCAAACTTCACCGAATCAGATAATCGTAGAATCTGGAGTGACATAATTGAAATAGTGAAAAATACAGTCGATTAATGATTTTTTATAACTTCTTATTATTTCTTATTATTTATAATTAATTCTTATTCTTTATAATTCTTTTATAATTCTTATTAAACGATTTATGATATTGAATCTTATAATTAGATCAAGAGATATAAGATATAAAGTACCATAATATATAGCAATTCTTTTGATTCTGAAGAAGCAGATACTTGTCCGTATCTGCGCACGCATCGCGCACATCTCTCCAATCCATCTTTGCTGGGTTGAGTAACCCTCAAGCCACAGTCTGGATTCGCTGCGCATTATTCGACTTCCCTCTCTTTGCTGCATCGAGGGAGGTCTATTGTTCCGATCTTGATGGCGCGAAACATTTGTCTTCTGAACGTCACAATTGCGACGGAGAAAGATAATGCAAGAGATATCGGTCTTTTCGTATTATAAATTTTTAAAGGAACGCTTTTATAAATCTAATTTAACGGAACATTAATATTTCCGCTATTTAATTCCTAAACGCATAAACAAGTAAAATAAAATTTGTGAACGGGTTCGTAAAAATGTATGGAATGCTGCTGGAAAGTGTGCAATATTTTGTGCAGGTCGGTAAAGTGCAAACAAATTACTGATATTATATGTTTGGCTAATTTGGGATATATATGTCATTTGGAATAACCGGAGAATAATTAAGTTTGAATAAAAATTTTATTTCTTCTTCATTTTTCTTTATGGTAAGTAAATCCTCTTTTCTATTTTAAATTTAGTTGAGTCTATTTATTTTGTTTTTTTATAATTAATAAAATTGAAAGTTAATTTTATAAAAAAACAAAATCTTCAATTTATATTTTATATTATTACACCAATCCCCCTCATATAAAAGAAATCAATAAAAAAGAATTTATACATTTATACATGTTCATATAAATGTTTCCATATATGTATAAAAAAAATATTTTAGACATGATTATAAACTTTCTAAATAATTTTAAACATATAAACTGTAAAAATTGTTATAAGTATCCCAAGTTAGCATAAAATATATTTTTAAATCAATATATCTTAATGTAAATTATTTTTTTTATTTAGTATTTTTTTCAAATAGACTTTTTTAAAATAAACTTTTTAATCATAAATTACATTTAATGATTAGAATTAAAATAATTTATTAAATTTAGGATGAGTTAAGAAATTGTTTTATTGTCGAGTAGCGGTTTCTTTTATATTTTAAAGTTCTAACTCTTATCGCGAATGTAACATGGAGAATTGTATAAGTTTGATTGTAGTGACACAGCTGCTCTCCTAGAAATGTTCAATTTATATAGTTTGTGATTGTGAATACTGTGCTGATAAGAAGTAAAAATTTCTACAATAAATCTTAAGGAAAATATTAAAATCTCATTGAAATATTAATAATAAATATTACAACTAAATATTAAAATTGTTCTTTTATTCAATCGTTGGATTATCTCTTCTTACATTTGTTAGTAACGTAACGCAACGCAACGGCAGTTTTCTTTCTCGTTTTAAGTTAATGTAGAAATATGATCCATTTTTTTACGTCAAAGAATATTGATCTTCCAGTTGCGCAAATTTTAATGAGTCCTATCAAGTTTCTTGTACATTCTTTTACATTCTTATACATTCTTTTTCTCCCTGATAGGCAATTTAATTTCAGAGAAATAATTACATTTGTAATAAATTTAATTTCAGAGAAATAATTACATTTGTAATAAAAAATATATAACATTAATTACAAGAATTATATATAACTGATTATAAATTTAATAGACTAAGAATAAATATTAATTTAAATATTTTTTATTAAAGAATAAAAAAAATTTTTTAATAAAAACTAAATTTTTTATTATTTTATTGTCAACTATATAAATATAATTATACTTTTTATCTTAATTCACATTATATTAATATTTTTATAAGGTTTTATTCCAAAGAAAAATGTTAGATATGTAATCCCAGACAGCATGCATGCCTAAAAACATGTTTTAAAAATATTTTTCAAACGTCTTTATATACGTCTATTTTAATTGTTTAAAAGACAATTTAAAATGTTTTTCGACGTTTTTTAAACTTGCATTGATTGATAAGTTGTAATTATGAGTTGTAATTATAAAATCTTCGTATCTCACATAACCGCTAACAAGTTTTGCAAATCCATATTGATTGCACGTTCGTCAAGCATCCATTTTAATGAACTATACGTACTAATTCGATATAGAATTACGAAGTTAAGGCCAATATATTTATCCTTAAGCAATTTGCTTTATGTTGTCCTTTTGTAGAAAACAATGGAATAAAAATTAAGCTTATTCATCAATTTATTTGATTGCTTACAATGTTTTAAGCACGATTGAATGATGATCTTTATAAAAAATATCTTTTTCTTATAATTACTGCTGATAATTAATTATAAGCTATAATAAAATTTCTTAATTTAATAATTATTTAAAACATTAATTTAATAATTATTTAAAACGTTGGAAATTTTATAAATTACATCAAAAAACTTATTTATTTTATCATGATATGACTATTGTTGTCTAAATAGAAAATTTTTTGTTTAGTCATACATACATACTGAAAACACACACACACACACACACACACACACACACACACACAACAAAACAAGTATCATTTGAAAACGATATAAATGTAATGATTTTGTCTTTTTTTTCTTGTCTGTTTAATTTTTATAATAAAATTAATTAAATTCAGCATATTTTTTATGAAAATTATATATTAAAATTAAATAAAATTTAATAAAATTATATATTATAAAGTATCATAATTATTTCAATTACATTATAATATATTAGACTAAGATAAATAAGATATTCTTTCTCATTTTGTTTAGATACAATGACAAGATCGTAATGATCCGAATAATATAACAATTTAAAAAAGTAGATATTGTATTTTCCGACGTTTTGAAATAGATTGCACAAAAAGAGAGATATATTTCGATACTTAGAATTCATATTACAAATTATTGATTTGATATTAATCTTGTTACATATATGTCCTATATTCGTGAAGATACATATATACATATTCCCTTTCACAATTTACAATATGCTTACGATACGGATAAATTTCATGAAGGTGACAACAACATGAGGTTGACATGTATGATAATTATTTTATTATTTATTTCTAAACAAAAAATTAAAAAAAGCTATAACTATTAATATTAAATCGATAAGTACAATATTATATTTCTTAAAGTCAAAGTGTACTTTATGTTAATCTTTTATAAAAATAATTGAACTTATTTTGTTTGTTAATGTCACGTTAATACAATTAATTAATATGTTTTATTTGCATCGTTGTTTTCTTTCGATTGTTTTAAATTGATCTTAGTGTTTATAATGTGTGTCACGTACTTACAAAGGAAACGCTTCGTAGATATGTAATAAACGAAGTACTTGAATATGGATGGACTTAAAAGACTTCCTTTTAAGTGTCTCTAACACCTAAATTGTAAACAGTTTTAAAAATAGTATCTCATTTTACCAACATGTAAGGTCACTCTATTGATTGTTTTGATAATATCTTGCTTTTAGGTTTATCTTACTTTTTTTGATCATTAACAATCATACAATTTACTTTAATGACATTGCGTATCATTTTCTTGACATAAAACATAACTTTGATCGCAAAAATAGATCTTTAAAATAATATTATGTCATTAGATGTAAAATAAACTAGCAAAATTAATTAAAATATATATTTATATATATATTTTATATATTATATTTTTATGTATAATATTGAATATATATTATGTATTATTATAATATTACATAAATATTAGCTTTTTATATTTTTGTATTTTTATATATTATTTATGTATTTCTTAATATAAAGATTTATAAGAATTACCTATAAGACTTATTACTTTATAAAAATTACCTATTTGTGACAATTCTTTGATTTCTTTTTTAAACATCTTTGTAAAATTAAATATGCTTCAATAATAGTAAAATATGTAACTAGTCGTTTATTCTATGTTTCAATTTGTAAGTTTGCGTGTTCACTTACAATATGTTTCCTGAGTGCTTTTCTCATTAAAGATCACATATTCATTTTCGTGACTGCTCCTCATACCAGTAAAAGAAACATTAATTGACATAGGGGAGTTGGGAAATTGGTCTGATTATCCGAATCAATTTGTAATTGTCTATAGAACCTATTATCTGGCACGTAACAAGATATTATTTCAAATATTTCTCTTTAACAAATAATATCCCGTATGTTTAGTTTATATGTGTTATATATACATTGAATTTTATTTTAATGGTTCTAAATTAGAGAAGTATAAAATTTATTATTTCAACTCTTATATAACAGAAAATTCTATTTATAATTACGTTCTATTCATAATTTTTAACACAATAAATTTAATAGCCTTTATATGTATATATTATTTATATGTTAAAAAGAAAAAATATATATACAGGGCTTAAACATTTTTATAGTTAGAATTTGGTGAAGAAGTATGGCTGCACATTCTAGAAAAAGCTGATTGCAAACATATAGTTTTTAATACAAGACAAACATATCCGGATGAACTAATGACTGATTTGGCCACTGCTCTTGCCGTACATACTGGTGATTCTATGGATAATATTATGCAATTTTTTGGTAAATGCTTTGTTAGGTTTTTCAGTAATTTAGGGTAAGTTTTAAATTAGAAAAACATAAACAGTAAAACTGCATTGATAACTATATAAAATATCAATAATTTGCCATTAGAGATATAATTATTAAATTCGCATTCAAATAATTGCAAATATATATATTTATAAAATGATTAAATTAATTAATTACCAGTATATAATGTTTAGATTATTTTCTTAGGTACGATTATACTGTAAAAGCGACTGGTCGTTACTTTTGTGATTTTTTACAAAGTGTTGACAATATTCATATGCAAATGAGATTCACATATCCAAAAATGAAGAGTCCTTCTATGTATACAACGCATGTAGATTCAGAGGGTGTTGTCTTAGTTTATAGAAGTACTCGGCAAGGTTTTACGCATTATCTTATGGGTAAGAATATATTTGAATAAATTTTTGATTAATCATATTTTATGCAATATATCTTTTGTATAACATATAATATTTTACTTTTCATAGGACAATTATTTCAAATAGCAAAAGATTTATATAACATAGATTTGGATATTAAAGTATTAGAAAGTTCAAATAATATTCCAGGATCTCGAAGCGTAATGGTTAAATTTCGTATTAATTTCGATAATCGCCAATATGTAAGTTTTAAACTGAAGTTTAAAATATATATACCTATATTATTTATAATATATTTAATATTCAATTCTTAATTTTCAATTTACATTGTGTAAATCAGATAGCAAAGAACAATAGCATAAAAGCTCCACTAGACCGTGAATTGGCGCCTGTTTCTTGTTCATTTTTCTTACGTCTTTTCCCATTTGGTGTTGTAATGAACAAGGATATGCGAATATTAGGAACCGGTGACAAATTGCTTCAAGCATGGGGCGGCACCTCATCCATTTTAAACAGACATGTTACAGAAATATTCAAATTAAGGAGACCGAAAGGAATTTCTTTTACATGGGGAAACGTAAGTAATACATGTCATATATTTTAAAAGTCATAACATTAGTTTTATCGATTAAGATAATATTTTCAATTGCAATATAGAAATAATATACATGACGACTGCAATATTCAGATATATTTGTAAGTATTATATTTTTAGATAATGTATTTACATTCAGTGATATTCGAACTGGAACTTATCAGAGCCAATGATCAGTCTTCAATAAATTCAGATAATATGCCGAGCACAAGCAGTAGTTTAGATAGACGCGGGAGTCAAGGCGCGAGAAGTATTTTATTAAAGGGCCAAATGAGATACATCGAAGATATTAAAGCTATTATATTTCTCTGTAGTCCTTTGTAAGTTCTCAATGTTAGTAATTAAGTTTCCCATAAGATAACTAATTTGTAATAACCATAATCTTACTGCAATAGAATTAACAATTTAGACGAACTTCTTAATATGGGTCTTTATTTAAATGATCTTAATCCTCACGGTATGAGCAAAGAATTGGTGTTGGCAGGATGGCAACATTGTGGAAGGTATATCTTATCTTTTTTATAATGAAAAAGTTATCTCCATTTTTAAAATTGATTATATCTTATAAGATTTCTCAGATAATTTATACCATTTATTTGTAGATTGGAAATGATGTTTGAGAGAGCAGAGCAAAGATCGATGGAACTAGAAAACAGCTATGCATTACTGGACCGATGGAAAAACAAAAGCGACGAACTTTTATATTCTATGATTCCACAGACGGTAGCAGATCGATTGCGAGCCGGAGCCAGTCCATTGAGTACTTGCGAGGTCTAATAAACTTTTAAAATTTTAATCTTCGAATTCAGCTAATAATTATGCAATAATTTTTTTATTTGCAGTCGTTTGAATCAATAACAGTTCTTTTCTGTGAATTATGCGACTTTGATCATTCAACCATTGAAGGAGCGATGGATATCGTATTATCTATGAATGCTGTTTTCTCTTGTTTCGATACACTAATGGATGAGTTTAATGTATATAAAGTAAGATTATTTATTTTATTGGGAATATTTTCATATCATTTAAAATATATATTGAATTTAATATGATAACATGACACACATGTTGACTTGACTAGAAACTTTTATTATTTTGTTACATTTAACTTTCGCGAAAACATTTATTTTCTATTAATCATATTACAAAATACTTATTTATATTTATATTAATCTCATCTAAATCTTTTGGCATTAAGTTTAATTGTGAATTTTAACTTAATTCTAAACTTGATAATTTTACCTTTCCTATAACACCTTTGATGATACATTTCACATATTATTTTTGAATCATATAACTTTTATTTATATATCTACCTTTTTATTTAGCTAATTTTACTAGAGAGAATTCAACTCAGACGTTTCATTTCACGACTTAAAACGTTTACTATATGCATTTCTTTATTTTAACGCATTTTAACTTAAATGAACTTTTATAATTTCGTATCAATATCTGCATTTGATTCTTACAAGCTTTCTTTATATTTATATTGTTTTTGGATCATTATACAATGTTATCGATCGTACGTGCAATTGGACGTTATGTTTGACATTTACAAATACATTACAGGTAGAAACTGTTGGTTGCGTGTATATGGCAGCTAGCGGAGCACCAGATAGAAATGAAAACCATGCGCAGAATATTGCTGATGTTTCCTTGCAACTCATCGAACACGTTCGATCGCTCAAATTATCTTCCGGATTGAATATACGAATTCGTATAGGTAACATATATACATATAATTGTTTAACTTCTAAACAAAATACACTTTTTTTTAAATAGTTTATCAATTTGCAAATAGATTTTACTTTTAAATAAATCAAGAAAAATAAAGATCAATTAAAGGAGCACACAAGATGTTAAATTAATGACAATATAATTATATATAAAAAAATTATAAATTTAATATTTATGAAAACGTTTCATCTTTACAAAGCATTTCTTCAAGCTATATAAATCCATAGAATTAAAATTTAAAGGGAGTTAAAAAATAAAAACGTGTATAATCGCGACAATGAAATGCTGATCACAATTTAAAACAAAAAGAAATTCATTAATAAAGATCTTTAATATATCATATTTTTTATATATATATTACTATTAATTTAACATTCTGTGCGCTTGTCTAATTGACCTTTTTTTTTTTGATTTATTGTTTAGCAAATTCGAGCTAGATTGTTTATTATTTACTTTTATTTCTCGCGGAATAAACTCAGGTTTCCAGAACGCCAAAAATATGATAGAAACTGCGTTTATTCTAATAATTTAAAACAACAATTTATTAATCTCAAAAGAAAAGAAGATATAATGTACAGGTGCGTTTGTAAAAGCAGGAATTTTATATGTGAGCAATAAGGCGGATATCGCGTAGATGTTACTCGCGAATCGCGGATCGATGACAGATCGAATTGCAACGGATTCGCGGATGATCTCGCGGTATTTCGGTTATTGCGTACGCTCATTAATTGACTCGCTACCTGTCAGATCCGGTTCCGGACGAATTTCGCAGATAGTTGAATCTAAAGAGCGGATTAATCGCGGTATCTAACACGAGATTCGTGCTGTAGAACGCAGATAAGTACAGGAATGTTTGTCTGCGCCTTTAAGACTCATTCGACGAACGCTCCAGCCAGGAACGATCAACTACTGTTATATTCTTTCTATTCGAAATGTAACTTTGTTCAACGTTCAAATACTTCTCATGAGAAATTTTTCTGACTATCATATTGCATATTTATTATGCAATACTTATCATAACGAAACAATGTTAATCTTGAAATTATTCAGGAATTCATTCTGGGCCAGCAGTCGCCGGTGTGGTTGGTATCAAAGTGCCAAGATATTGTTTCTTCGGGGATACTGTTAACACGGCTTCCAGAATGCAGACTACTAGTCTGGTAATATTTATCTCAAATTTACATAAGTGACAAAATATAACATTTAAATCCAGATAAAAAACGAAATGTTAGTTACTTTCTTTCGAATAATTAATTTTCATTCCTACCTTAAATTATCTTTGATCTAAAAAATTAATAATTCAATTATTTTCTTATAAATTAAAGCAAAATATCTAAATTGATAAATTATTCAACTTTAATTTTGACATTAAGGAGAATAAATTATAGTTCAAGATTATTATTGCAAGTTTATCATTATAAATAATTACGCATTAAATATATTATATTTATCATAATAATTTTAAGTTGAATTTTTTTAAAAAGAAATTATGAGTTTATTTTTATTTGTTCTCTTCTAAATTCTTATATTTTTATATTATTTAATTGTATTGTAGCCAGGAAAGGTGCATATTTCTTCTAGCACCAAAGCTCTATTACCTAAAGGTCGTTATCATACCGAATCACGTGGAGTTGTATGGGTAAAGGTTTGTATTAAGACTTTTATGTATTAATTAATAACATAATATATCACAATAATTATATATTATTTATTATGTATAAAGGGAAAAGGAGATATGGAGACATATTGGTTGCAACCAATGGCAAATAAAATAAAAGAAGAAATTAATTCATTAGACGATGATACACAGTAATTGAAGGTCTTTCAGTCTAATATATAAAACTTTGATATCACAATAATAAATACAATACATATAGTATAATTGTTATAAAAAGAAATAGTTTATTGAGTATTTATTCTTTAATATATTTCAGCCTCGATCATGCACACTAATTAAAATTACTTAAGTTTTACAGAAAATAATTGTCATTAAAAAATTATTATATGTATTCAAATTGATTATAAATTAAGATCTTATATCAATAACAAAATACGCATATATTTTCCATCTGTTCATTGTGTGTGTATAAACAATATTACATATAGATACAATGTATATGAGTTTTCAATGGAATTCCAAACTGTCTGATTGTATAAAACAGAGAAAGTCTTGTAACTTTCTTCTTTTATGTACACACTCTATATCGTGAGTATTGACTAAAAACTAAAGTGAAGAGCGATGTACATGTGCCTTAATTTTTAAGTATTTATAAAACACATATATGAATACAGGATCGCATATTATATCATGTCTGCATTATCATGAAATGACATTACATTTATATATACAATAAAGAGAAATAATTATGTGTTAAATAATTATCATCTTACAATGCAATGAATTCTTAATTGTACAAGCTAATAAAATTGTTAACCGTGTATCATTGTGCGCTTCATAGCTTGTGTAATTTGCATTATTATCGAATTAATGTGAATTAACTAAAATAAATGTGTCAGTCTATGTTGAGATTACATATCAACAATAGCAACCATCCTCTGTGTTGTGTGCAATCCATGTAAGAAATCGGTTTACTCTGCTATATACTCCAGGATATCCAGGTTGTGCACATCCTTCTCCCCAGGAGACTACTCCTACAAAATTAAAAAATTTTTAACTTGCTTAATTTCTATCGCGTAAGTATTGTAAATTTTCTTTAAAGTCTTTGCAGTTTTACTGCAATCATTTAAATTGATATCGAAACAAGAAAACGTAATGAAAATTCTTGCAAAATATATTAAAATAAAAATGTTTTTTGACAGATTTATAAAATATATCAAATATCTTTACTTTTTGTTTTAATAATATAACTTTTAAGACTTTGGAAGAATCTCATAATGTTTCTTTCAGTTTTCCGAGATCCACTTATGTTATCTAAATTGAATAACCAATACAATTTAAAACTAAACTTACCAACTATCTGATGAACACCATTTTCTACTATGTGCAACGGACCACCGCTGTCTCCCTATGATATGTAATTTATATCATTATTTTTTAAATTTATAATTTATAATTTTTTACATTTTATTCTCTATTTGTCGCATTTTTATTACATAACTTATTTTCATAATTTAAAATACTTTTGTTTCATCAATTGAGATAAATAGTATAAAAATGTAAATGATCTTAATATTATCTTCCTCATTATTTCACAGTTTAATACAACTTTCTGCTTACTTGACAAGAATCTTTACCACCCTCCTGGAAACCCGCACATATCATATTATCTGTTATTCTGCGTGGTGGGTACTTTGTAGCACGACATTCCGCGTTTGTAAGAATAGGAACAACAACTTCTTGTAACGTATATGATATCGCTCCACCTTCCTTAACAGCTCCCCATCCGGTTACTATACCTTTTTTGCCAGCGAAAGTTTTCACTAAGAATAAATAATTGATTAAAATAATTGATTCATTCTATATACAAATAAATTTTGCTTTCTATATACAAATAATTATTATCTTAATAAATCTTTAAAATCTACTTTGTAAATCTATAAGATTTTATATTATCTCTTTGCTTTAAATAAATATTTAAAAAATGAAAATTAAATTTGATAAAAGTCTATATTATTTATAAATATATAAATAATAAGACTACCTTGATCTGGGAGACAAACAGGCCGCATCGGACCTTGAAATTTAATGATGTTCTTTAACTTAATGAGTGCAATATCATTGTTGTAATTAGTAGTTGAGTAACCACTGTGCATGATTACTTTTTCAACATTGAAATCTTGCGTTTTGGTTTCGTTAGCTAAATTCCAATCGTGTTCTAATATCCGGACAGTCAATTTATTTGCATCGAATCTGTTAAGAAGAATTTGATAAATTATCGAATGTATTTTTTAAGCATGTACATATATACATACCATGTGAACATTTAATGATAACAAAAGAGCAGCATAAATAAATAAGTCACCTGTCAATGCAATGAGCAGCCGTTAGTACATATCGTGAATTTATAACTGTACCACCACAATAAAATTGTCCCCTATACATCAATAGAACCATCCAAGGATACTGATTGACAAGTGTCTCGACACCTCCGACAATACGATTATGTTTGTTTGTTAATCCGCAAGCTATAAATATAATAAATAATTAACTCATCTTGTAAATATTTATATATACGTAAATACTTATATATAATTTTTCTTTCAAAAATTTCCGATTAAAATAAATAATATCTTTGACAATAATGCAATCAGTAAGATATATCTTATATTTATTACTTATACAGCAAAAATTTACAATAATGAAATTGAGAAATATAATTCTACCAAATTAAAGATTATTTTGACAATATTTTGACAATATAATTAAATTGAATTTTAATTTATTAAAATTCAATTAATGGTTATTGCAAAAATATAAAAGCGTAAGTATTACAAGATAATAAATCATAACGTACTGCAACTTAAACATTTTTCTGGTTTTGATGATTCAATAAAATTTATTGGTGGAATTGGTGCCACCGCACCGAGCAACCATTCCCAGAATCCTTTATCATCTTCAGTTCCACTTGTTTTATTCAAATTTTGTTCTTTCACGTATATAGTTAAGTTTGACTGCAACTATTATTTAAAACATACTTCTTTTATATTTATGTATATCAAACAGAAATCAATAAAAATCTTTTAGATTTATTATTAATACATCTATAAAATTCCAAACTATAACGAATTTTGAGAAAAATCATATATGAAGATTTATTTATGTATTAAATTTAAAAGTATTTAACACTAAATATAAAAAAATTATAAATATCAGCACACATTCAATAAGCTACGTATTAAAAAATTCACTTTTAAAATTAATAAATAAATCCAAAGGAAACAATAAATAAAATTTTTACATATATTTCTTAATAATTTAATTCAAGAATTGTTCATGATTTATAGAAAATAAATGTACGAAAACACCACACTGATCGACGATACCTCATCATCAACGGTAATTGTTAATGCTACTACGGCAAATGTTAATAACAATATAAATCGAAACAGCATTATTCTCTGCACTTCAAAATGTACACTAGCGGAACTGTTATACGTTGTTTCTTATTGAGCACTGCGAGAAGTATTAAATCGATCTGATCCACTCTTCCTGCTGAGGCAGCATATACTTTCACACAAGCCATCGATTCGGTGCCACATCTTTATTTATACGGAATAGTGGACAAGCCGGTAGCAGAAGTGAAAATTTAGGCTAGCGGTATGTAAATTCTTCGCAAACACGATAAGCGTATAAGAAATCTGTTAAACCTGCTACCGGTTCGCAAAAGATGGCGTATTTTTGCTCAGTCGCTTCTTTGTTCTTTTTTTCCTTTTTTCCTGTATGTATGATTTCTCTTCGCCGAATAAAAAAAAGCAAAAGCATCCTAATTAAAATTAATTTATTAATTTAATTAATTTATTAAGAGATTAATTAATTATTTATTATAAAGAAGTGGAACAAATGTTCATGAAGAAAGATATTTTTTCACACCCTAAATAGTTTTTATAACGCATTACTAGCATTGCATATGATGATGCATTTGTAATATTTCAAGTGACAGAGAAACAACAAATAAGTCCTTGTCCTTCTCTTTGTCTTTATAGGCAATTCTTTTTTTTTTTTATCTAATCCGACTTATCATACCTACAATTTTTGCTGAAACAGATAAGATAATTGTGGCGAGGCAAAAGATTGTACACCACCTGTAACCTATGACAGTGGGTCAAGGTATATAGGTAACGAGACCCTCATGCGGGCGAGACGCATTACTTTATTGTTTCGATGTGTACCCAACTTTATCAGAAGCCTTGCTTTATTTTCACATATCTTCAAGGTCAGATTAAATCAGCGATATAATTTTTTCACGGGCAAAAATTTATGATCACAGATAATATTAAAGAACAATTATACGTAATTTCTAGTTTAGAGTTTAGTCTAGTTTAGAGTTTAAGGTTACAAAGATGAAAGAATGAAACGATTTAGCTATAATGAGAAAGAAAAATTTTTTATGATTATATATTGAGTTAATTAAATAATTCAATAATACACTCGCAATAATACATACGCTCATAATTAATAAGAAAAAACATTTATTTAATAATGTTAATAATGTCATGCCATATATTCAAGTAAAATTAATTCAAAATATAAAAATGATATACATGTATATAAATGAACATAACATTTTAAAAAATATCTAAAGTTATTGTAATTTTAACATTTTTTTCATACATATTTTTAACTACTTCAAAAATATATCGTGTTGTATCTATTAACTAAAGAAAAAGAATAAAAGGAAGAAACAATTATTCTCAAAAAGATCCTCAAAAATTTAATAAATCAAGCGTTAAAATTCAAAAAAGTTAAAATTTGCATGACACCTTTACTTTTCGGAGAAAACATATAAAACGCTATTTATATATGAATCTCGAGTTCCGTTGTAATTTTCATACCGAATGAAGCTTGCGCGTGGATCATATAATTTGCAAGTGAAAGTAAAATAAGCGGTAAGTTAAATTATGAAGTATGACGTTTGGTCTGTTTGAATAAATGCGTAAGTAATAAATATTAAAAGACACCAATCCAGATATATTCTAAGAAAATTATGACTTAGTGAAGAATCTTCTTGACTAGAAATATATTTCTTTTTATGTTGCCCATTGTGTATTTATTGATCCTTCTAATAAATTTTCTTCCAAATGACTAAAAAATCTTGATAAATGTTCTATTAGCACGTGGACTCATCGCACCTTTACAATTGTAGTGATTTAATGGCACAAGAAAATTGTATAACTTCTTCCTTTCGCGCTACAGATTTGTTCTAGCTGAATGAAATCGATGACAAGGCCAAATTGTTATTACATTGACCCGATTGTAACCGCAACATCATCCTATCATGGTGCTTAGCAAATATCAGGAAAGCTTCTAAGAAATTTTCAATATATAAAATGTTTATATTAGTTATATTTAAATAGAAGTTATCGTACTACTCATTCTTTCATTATTTTTACAATCTTACTAGAATTTGTTATAAAACTATTATGTAACACATTTATGTGAATTAAAGTAAATTTTTATTACTATTTTATTTCTTTCCTGATTACTTTTCTTAAATACATATAGTTGATTACTGAATTCATTGCCGTATGTATATTACATTAGAAGATAAAGTTAGTTGTACATAATTGCAATTAATCTCCACGGTGGATGTCGCATACAAAAAGATTGTACTACAAATTATTATCTTCAAAAAAAATACATAATCAATTTACTTCATGAATGCATAAATGAAAAAATAAAAAAATAAAAAATAAAATTGAAAAAAATGTTTCATAGAACGATGATAAAAATAAAAATATCAATATCTTAACCGTACTTTGCATGATAAAGTAATAAAGTAATAGAATTTTTCAGTCACAAATAAGTAAAGTCACAAATAGAATTTGGCAGTCATTTATTTTACTTGCCTAAATTACAAGTGATGCCGACCTATCGTTATCATTGCTATTGTTATCATTATTGTCGTCGTTATCATCGTCGTTGTCGTAGTCATCATCCGCGACAATGAATCGGAACGATCATGGGCGCGGTGACATTCGCATTCGTCTGCTGACGAAATTCTCGGTAGACTGGATTAACTCTCTCTTCTTAAATTCCTCGGTAGATTCGGCCTAATTAAGAAGACGGACGGAATGATATCATTTACATCATACGTTACATTTGTTACGTTATACATTTTTTTATTATCGACTATTTTTCGCATTTTATGCGAATAAAATATTTTCATCTCCTTAATTATACGGATCTATCGAGGAATTTAAGAATGGCGAATCCTTTATCGATAAAAGTGAAAACTGGAAAAGACAATTTTTTTTTTAGAGGTGAACCTTTTTATCGCTTCTTTGAATCGAGGATTCATATGGGCCAATGAGATTCTTACGACAGATGCTTATGATCCAATCGGCCATCACGAACGTCCAATGTCAACCCGGACCACCTCCTCTCACAGTGACCCTACCTTTCAAGGATCCATGGAGCCATTGTATTTGTATCGGAGGAGGTACTTGTCAGGTGAGACAACGGGCGCGTACACCGACCGTTTGAATCATCCGACCGGGTAATTTAAAGGCTGTCACATGCAACATCTGCCAATGCAAACGCACCATTCAAGGTTGAATCCCCACCGAGACACGCGGCTGGGCTTTTTCATTAGTTATAATATAAAACGGCAAAAGAGTCAGGGTATCTTTAGACTTTTTCACGTCGCGAGTGTAAGTACGTGCACGAGCACGAATCTCGCGACAAAATCAGATTATCAATTAACAGGGACTAAATATCGGAAACAACATGCACGCACATGGCATGGAAAGCTACGCAAGAACAAGATATATAGATATGTTTGTGCTCTTTTTTCTTTCTCTATGTCTGAGCTATTGTTACGCGTTCCCTCGTGTGGTAAGTTAAATAACTATTATACAAATGTGTTAATGGGTTATTTAGCTTTAAACCATAAGTAATTGATCATAGTCGATTATTCTATTCACATTCGATGGTCTTTTGTTTATGAAACGATAGTGATAGTGAAAGGCAATAATTAGGTGAGTTTTTTAATTCATCGATTAATAAGTCATATTATGCGCAAATACAACTTTGCTCTATAAAAACAGCATTTGTGCATTATGCGATTACTCAATCGATGAATTAAAAAACTCGTCCATTCTGTTTTTATTAATTTGAATTTGCAGTTTGAATAACTATATATTAAAATGACAATAGAAAATATATGTATATTATATAAAATGTTGATATATCTTCTGTTATCATATTCTATAGAGTATATTAATATTTTATTCTTATAAATTGTACATATTTTATTATATAATGTTTTTATCAATATAAAAATAAAATAATGACATAAGATTTACTTAAATAAATTAATTTTTTATAAAGCTTTATTCTTAAAACTTATTTGTATATCCATAAATTGCCCAAATCTGATTATTTATATAAAATCTGTCCTATCCAATTATTTATTTATATAGATTATTAATTTGTTTTAAAATTTTATTTTTGTTTTTAAATTTATGGAAACAAAAACAAGAAAGAAATGCATTTTTTTAAATATTATTCACAAAATCGTTGGAAAATAGAAGAGCTATGTCTCTGTAATAACTTTCCAGTTGAGAAATAGATGTAAATACAACACTTTTCATTTTTTTCAATTATACATTCATTAACTTTGTTATGAAATTTATGGAAATCAATACATAGAATTAATAACGTTGAAATATTTATTTGTACATCTTCTTCCACATATTGTTCGTAGACATTACTAAACAGACGGAATTTGCCTTCTTCAAATGCTCAAGTACATTTTAACATTACTTCAAATGCTCAAGATGATACTCGTCCGATAATAGACGAAGTATCTTATGTTGACTTCGATCTTGAACTCCCAACATCTCTTTTTAAAAAGCCAAATTTCTGTAATGATTGCGGTAAGTAAAACCTAATATATATGAGCATTATGCGTTTTATTAGAAATTTATGTAAGAAACATTGAAGAACATTATAGGAATATACAATTTCAATTTTTTACATTCTTAATACTAATTGTTACTAGATTCTTTTATATCAATGATAACAAATAAACAATTATATGTGTTTCATATAATTGACAGAAAAATATATAACAATCTTTTTTATTAAAATATATAAATATAATAAATATATTTTTTACAATTAATTGGATTAATTAAATTAATTGTAAGTAAGAAATAATATGCAAATGGGAAATGCACACATTAATGTTCCAGAATTGTGATATAAATGTTTCAAAATTATCGTGAAATAAGATAAAATAAATTTATGACATTTTCTATACTTCAAGATTTCTTTTTACATAATTTTATATAGCATATTACAATTCAAAGTAAAATTGATTAAAATAACACAAAATTTCATTAATTTTTGTAATTTTGTTTTGCTACGTAATAGAAACATCAAAAAACATATAATAATAATAAATATAATATAATAATAAATAATAATAAATAATAATAATAATTAATTATTCCTTATGCGTATATATTCGTGTGTGTTAGTTTGCAATTATTAATTAATTATAAATTATTGATTATTAATTTTTAATAAATTATAACTATAAATCATTAACAAATATATATTAATAACATACGCAATCAAATTGATTGTTAATCCAAATAACATGCATGTATATTAATGCATTATTATAGTTTGCGGCCTTGGAAGAAAAACAAGAATTATTGGCGGCAATATAACAAACGTTTTTGATTATCCCTGGATAGTTAGCATGAGTGAAAAAGGCAAATTTTATTGTGCTGGTACTGTTATTACGCGAAAGCATATACTTACTGCGGCTCATTGTGTGCGAGGGTATGTGTTAAATAATTATAATCATAGATAGTTTACATATTAAATATTTAATTCCAGAATAATATAATATATCTATTAAAATAATTTTTAGATTCGATATTAAAACTATCAAACTTATCTTGATGGATAATGATCGACCCTTTATAGGAAGTAGTGCTATAATTCGTTACATAAACTCGGCAACCATTCATGAAAATTTTCATAGCTACTCGTTTAACAATGATATTGCTATAATAGAGATGAACGAACCTGTATCTCTGAATGATATTGTACGAACAGCATGTTTACCAGAAGACAGTAAGTCGTTTCTAATATTAGTAAGATATGTGTAGAAATCGAGAAAATTAACAATGCCGATCGAGATTCGAGATCTTTTGTGTTATATTCGAAATGCTTATAATTAGTTTGTGCGACGGTTTCTATTTTCGAATTTTACGCCCATTATCTAAATGACCTTAAGATTCTATTCTTTTTATATACATGGCATCCGAGATTTTAATAGCCAAACTTTGTCACTATATTTTATGGGTTTAAAGAGATAAGAAAACAAAGGTTATATAAACATAGGTCGTTTATCTTCTCAGCTTTATTCAAAAGTTATGACAAAACTATGAAATACAAAAAAAACGTTAACTTTTGATTACCACAATACAATGTAAAAATCAACAATATTTACATTTAAAAATGTTTACCGTTTCTAATAATATAAGATTCACAGTGGCCGAAAAATCAAATTTATTATTTTACAAATTTTATTTTTACTTTCATTTTATTGAATTATTAATTTGCATAAATACTTGTATTATTAATTTTTCATATCATTACGTGAATTTATTACATTTTGAAATGGAGGATTAATTAATTTTGAAAGGATTAAAAGTATCATGCTAGTTTTGATAATCTCATATAAAGAACACAGCTTAGAAACATCGTTGATCTATTCCTATACTGTATTACAGTAATTAAAAATTAATATTTTTTTTGTATTTTTGTCATAACTTTTGAACAAACATGTAAACGTTTACCTATGACCTATGTTTACATTATAATATTTTTTCCTGTATATTCATAGAATATAAAGTTTGACCATTAAAGTCTAAAACCCTGTATATAAATTTTGAAACTTAATGCTTTATAAATCATTAATTAAGGTATATAAAATTAATTTAATTTTATATATCTAATATTTTTTTACCCAAATTTACCCGATATTTTCGCGTTATAAATTATTAAACATAAGAATGTTTGTACATATATTGACATTTATATGTCTATTTGAGTAACACCTAAATTATTACTTATGTTGCAAAAATTATATATTTAAATTAAATTAAAAGTTTTAGCCTATGTTTCTTAAATGAAGATACGTTTCAAATTTAGATAATAAATATTGTGTGAATAAAATCCATGTTAATACAGTCAGAACATATAAAAATTACAAAATTACAGAAACAATTGATTATACTGGAGCACTCGCAACTGTTATCGGATGGGGTCGAACAGGAGAAACCAAGCCTGTAAGTGATGAATTACGAAAAGTTAATTTACCAATTTTATCAAAGGAAGAATGCGATCAAGCTGGATATGCTAAAAATCGAATCAGCGAGAACATGTTTTGTGCCGGTTATATAGAAGGAATAGGAGGACAGGATGCTTGTTATGTAAGTATTAACTAGAATTTGAAATAAATATAAACAATTAACATCTAGAAATAAAAAGTAATAACACATGAGAAAATATCCTAAGTGGCATAGTGATATCAAATGACGATTCAACAACATCTTAACGTTAGAGAAGTTATTAAGACGTTATAAGACATCATTTGATGTCCTCTTGTGTGTGTGTGTGTGTGTGTGTGTGTGTGTGTGTGTGTGTGTGTGTGTGTGTGTGTGTGTGTGTGTGTATACAAGATTTAATTCTAACATTAATTATAGAACATTAACTTTAAAGTTTTATTAATAGAAATTATAATATCTAATATTTTATGTATCAAAGATTAATATATATCTTGATTATATTATTATATTAATTGTATTAACATTTAATAGATGTACTAAGTAATATCTTAATATTTAATTTTTCAATGAATAACACAAACTATCTCTTTTATATAATTATTTTTTTATATAATTTTTAATGTTTTTTTTTACTTCTTATTTAAAGGGTGATAGCGGTGGTCCTTTACATGTTAAAGGAATCTATGGACAACTTGAAGTTATAGGTAGTTTATAATTATAAATTAAAATTTGATTTTATCTGCAAGTTTAAGTTTTTTGATTAAAATAATTTCAAGATTAAAATAATTTTTCTTTTCTCTATGCAATAAATCACATCTTCTTGATTGTATTAATTAGAAGTCATTAATGTGCAATTAAACAGAAATTTCTTATAATTATTATTATAATTATAATTATTATATTATTTATACAATCAAAATTAAATATAGCGAAATGTTTTTTTTACATGTATTTTACATGTATTGTAGGCATCGTTTCCTGGGGACGAGGTTGCGGACGACCAAATTTTCCTGGAGTCTTCACAAAATTGACTAATTATATTGCGTGGATTAGAGATCACATTGATGAGGAATGTATTTGTCCTCCACCGCATCAACAATCAAAATAATGTATTATCTAATGTTACTTTGTTATCGAATGTATTTACATTATATTTATTTATTGTTCTGTTAAACACAATGTTAAATTAGCAACCTAATATTTTATTTAATTATTAAGTTTATGAAAGAAGTATTTTTCGTTCCTTCCAATTCATATTTTTTAATTTAACATGTTATTTATCTTATATATTTTGAAATACATTTATATTTTTATAAATCTTATATTAAGTATTACAACATACATATACTGTATTTACTTATTTTGTTATAAAATTATTATAATGTTATTGTACATTTTTGCGCCATTAATTTATTATTATTATTAAATTATTATTAATATATATATATTATTATTATTAAATTATTATTAATATATAATTATTATTATATATATTGCTAGATATATCTAGCAGTATATATATTAAAATATTTATATATTGCGATATTAATTATGCTGCAAGTGCCCTGTTGATTAAAATAATATATAATAATAAAAAGTAATAAATGTTTATCATTTATTTCCTCAGTATATTATATATCAGAAATAAAAAAGTATTAGAATTACCAATTATATATTGTAAACTTATTTTTAGTTTAGAATGCATCAAAATATTACCACTATTCTATCTTCTTCATATTTTGTAATTTTTACAATAATAAAAATGGCGTTATTATTTTTTATTAAAATTATAAATTTTAATAAAAATGTACTCAATTATTTGATAATTTTTATTTTGATTTATTCAGAAAATTTACTACTAACTAATAAAAAATTTTGAGCATTTTACCCCGCATTATTTTATTCTTTATTATCTTAAATATTATTTTAAATGTTTGTCTTTTTATTTGCTCTATATTAAATTACTGTTTACATGTTTTCTGAATGACATACAAATAAAAAATAATCTTTGTTTAAAGTCTTTACACTGATGTAACAACTTTCGATAAGCTATATATTAAATAAAATACAGCTTAGCAATCTAATTTATATTGATAAATAAGCTTAATTAATAAATTATTTTAACAAATGTATATTTTTTTATGCAAACATTGTGCGTGCGTGCGTGCGTGCGTGCGTATGTGTGTGTATCTTTTATAGACACAAAAGAACATCGATGTTTTAATGAGGTGAGAGTTCAGTTTGATTTTGACAGTCGCTGAGTGCAAGCCGAGTGAATCTCATGCGAGATATATTGTACTGTTTCTTGTCTACTGTTATCCTATTATCCAATACATATTATCTACAAATTTATACAAATCAGTTTGTTAACAAAATTCAAAAATGTTCATAAATATATGAAAAGAAAGATTAATTATAAATGAATATATAACATAATTAACTACTTACATTAGATTTATATAAAGACTTAGTAGTTTATGCAAAAAAGTTGTATAAAATTGTAAATAAATTAGAATATGAGAATTAGAATATCTTTTAACTATGATCCGCCATATTAAATTGGGCATTCAAAAATTTTGAAGATCTAATTTTAAATTAATTGTTAGCAGCCAGCAAAAAATTTTTGAAGTAACACAGTTTTAAATTATTAGATTAACTTAAAAATTTATGTTTTAAAACTCAGGCTGACGTGTCACTGAAAATTTTTCTCTTCGTAACATTGACAAAATTACTTAAATTATTATCGATATAACACTTTATTCCAAAATATGTACATGTAAAATATAAAATATGTACGTATGTATATTTTAATATATATGTATATATTGTATATATAAAATATATTTACAGACACATAATCTCATTTTTAAGATTTAAATGTTGCAAATGCTTTTAATATTTCTTAAAATAAATATAATCTTCTATTTAATATTGCAATCTGTTAATGGAAACAGTATCAAACTTTTGTTTAATTCATCGATGTAGGTTGCTAATAAATTGCAAAAAGAAAAGGTAAATTGGTTTTTATTAACAGATTTAGCGAAAACTTAAAAAATATATCTGGTAAATGTATGGACATAGATTGTGGTTCTGGAGATATAACAAAAGATATTTTTTTGCCGGCACGTAATCCAAATGCGATAGTAATCGGTAAGAAGAAATATCTATGCAAGAAGGATTAAAATAAATTATTCCCTAATTTAATAATTAATTTTCATCGAATTATCACTTAACTCAGTCATAATTATCAGTAATAAAGTACAAATGTTTCGGAAAGTATAATTAAATATGCAAATAGAATATATATGTAAAGTCGACTCAAATTTGAAGTGTTAGACATTCACACTAACACTTACCCAACCAGTGCATTTCAGAACTTTATCACATATTCTCACTGCACACTTTGCATTGGTGCAACGATGTTCGATAAGAAAAGTTCTTAGATAATTTCTTGATTTTTCTTATAAAAAATTGTGTACTATAGATATTCATATACAGAACATTCATATATATTATTCTTACAATATAATTGTCTTAAAAATCTTAAATAATTATTTATAATAATGTTTCTCAAATTTTGTGAAACATTATAAAACAAAATAATTGTTTGATTTTACTGTATTTCGAAATTTAAATACTATATTCCAAAATCAAAGCAATATATTTTATTTTATTTTAAATGTTATAAAAATAGTTACAGCTCTGTATTATCATGTATATCATTATCTATGTTATCATTTAAATATTCTAAGACAAATATATATATCAAGAAATAATAATTAAAATATGTATAATAAAGAATAAATAAATAAATTAAATTTATTTGGATAAATCATCAATTTAATATTATTCAAATATAATTTCCAGACTTATAAACGTTTATGCTTTGAATTATATGTTGATTACTACTTGACTTCACAAAATGATTATCATCATAGGACTATCTGTTGAAAATAAGAATTGAAATACAACCTCACTATATTTTATTGATATCATTAAATTTCTCGGTAGATTCCGCCTAATTAAGAAGATGGATGAATGATATCATTTACGTCATATGTTACGTTTATTACGTTGTACATTTATTTTATTATTGATCATTTTTCGCATTTTATGCAAATAAAATATTTTCATCTCCTTAATTGTATGGATCTATCGAGGAATTTAAGGATGACGAATCCTTTATCGATAAAAGTGAAAACTGGAGAAGACAATTTTTTTAGAGGTAAACCTTTTTTATCGCTACTTTGCATTGAAGATTCATTTACGAGCCTGAAATTCTTACAACAAATGCTTATGATCCAATCGACAATCGGCCATTATGAACGTCCAATATCAACCCGGACCAGCTCCTCTCACAGCGACTCTACTTAGAGATCTATAAGTCTCAAAGAGCACAAAATAGTAATTGTAAAACAGTTGTAAGAAAATTTATATGACTTTTAAAGACGTTTATACGAATTACGTAAAAGATAATTATACAATTAAAAAATTATACAATTAATGTTGATTATATGATTATTTTTGAGTTTTTGTTACGTTTAAACGATTCTTTATATCAGTCGTGTAATATGCATTTTAAGTCATTAGAATGTTTATGCGACTTTGTATACGTCGTTGTAATCATATTATAATATGCATTTCGAGTAGTTGAAACATTTATGCGACTCCATATAACTCATTATGGCCGATTTCTTCACATCTCTCGATAGCTATCTTTCAGATAAAGATATCCGTCAGATAACTAAAAATTCGTTTTTATTACTGAAATTTCTGATTATGTTTAACGGATAGCTATTCGTCATACTACTAACTTTCGATACAGACTGTACTAGTATTTTATTAGAAATTACCATATTTTTTTATCAACGACATATTTTTCTCTGAGCTAATCCTATAACCAATAGCGAAGTTATATTTTGCAAAAATAAATATCCTTGTGCTTCCTTTCGGTTTTAAAAGATGTGAGAAAAACAATTATTTGACTCAATAAAGAAGGAAAAAAAAGGAGCAAATTTTATAAAAATTGAATTGATTTATTAATTGATATTGCATTAAAATATAAAAATATTATTGAAAATAAAAAAACCGATGTAACAACATGGAAAGATAGAAATAAAGCTCGGGAAAAAATAAAAA